ATTATTTTAAATTTTGAAAACTATTTTAAAAGGAAGATACCAAAACAAAAGAGGCGCATAAGTCTAAGTGGTATGTTTTTTTTTTTTGTCTTAATTAAATTTTAAAAACAAAAAATTCAAAACAAAATATATAGTTTTTAAAAACCTTCCATTGTTTGGAAGACTGATATTTGAATATTGATATTTTATTTAGTAACTGCGATAATTAACATCTATCTCTAATAAAAAAACTTATAATAAAAAACTTATAATTTTTCTTCCATCTCCGTTTGTTGTACTAAAATATAAATAAATAAATAAAACCTTACATCACAACCTCAGAAGGCCAATCCTGAAGCCAAATTTTGTCTTTATCTCTATCAAGAAGGTGAGCCACGCAATTGCCTTCCCCCTCATGAAACTTATTTTATTTGTTTAATATTTAAAAACACATATTTTAGTTTGCCATTTATATAAATATATATATTTTTATTAATCAGAAKAAAAATTGTTGGTAGGTAGATGGAAAAAATAAAATAAAATTTGCAAAATAATTAATAAGGAAATTGTGGGTTCCACCTAATAGAAGAGATAAAATGACAAAAATATTGAAACTATAGACAAATATTTATCGAGCAATTCACATCAATTTTATGATTTTTTTTTAATTACAAATTTAGTTATTAAACAATTTAGGAGAGTTTAAAAGATCCCTAAATTTTAAAACGTTTTTAATAGGTTATTAAATTTTAAAATGTCTAATATACCCTAAATTTTTATTTTTTATCTAATAAGTATTTGGCTATTCGATATTATTATATGGATTTAATTTTGTGTCCAATAAAATTCTGACATTTTAATTTAATATTTAGATAGTCATTTAAASGCAATATTAGTAACTTATTAAGCACTTTTAAAGTTCAATCTTTATTAACCTATTTGGTATAAATTTGAAAATTAAAAAACTATTCCATACAATCCAAAAGTCATGAACTAAACTTATAATTTAACAAATTCTTTTTTGTGATATTCACAAAAATATCTAAGACGAAAATATTTCAGTCTATTTAAGATCTCAATAATTTCATCGACATTGATATTTAACTCACATCACATGACGTTCATGTCCAACACCTACGTCGTGGATGCCAGGCTGGTTGATTGAATTTAATGTTTGAGAGTGACATATCCAACAGAAAAAATGTGGTTCAKACAAGACAAAAAAGCATAGATGTCCCATCATTAATTAAAGAAAAGGCATTTTGTACATTTTGCTATTGGGGTCCGGGGCAAGGCAATAGACTTATAAGTTGCGAATTTAAAATAATTTCATCAACATTGATATTTAACATCTACGTCATTTACGTCGCAAATGTCCATTAGTTAATTGAATTTACTGTTTGAGAGTGACATGTCCGACGGAAAAATATCGTTCATACAGAGAATATATATATATATATATATATATATACATACCTACGTACGTACTTAATTAGAGATATCCACGGTATTAATTAAAAAAAACAACAATAATTTACACTCTATGCTACTGTGGTTTGTGACAAGACTGACATGTAAACCTTRTAAGTTACGGATTTAAGATCTCAATAATTTCATCGACATCGACATTTAACTCAAACCATCTAACACCTACATCCGACATCTATGTCGTGGATGTCAGSTAGTTGATTGAATTTATTCTTTTAGAGTGACATATCAAACCAAAAATGTGTGCTTCATCTAAATAAATAAATAAATACAATACAGATGTCTCCATCATGAATTAAAGAAAAAGCAATTCGTACACTGTGGTATTGTGTCTGTGGCAAGGCAATAGCCTGTAAGCCTTGCAAGTTGCGAATTCTACGTGCTCAAGTTATTGTCGTAGCATTTATAAGCTAAGACCACACCCTTGTTCGGCTTTTTCTTTGTTTTTGGTTCAACTCGAAATGGGCCYAGCAAACAAATTTTACTCTCTGTTTCAAAAATATCTCTATCTTTCTAAAAGGTTCAATATTAACATTTTAATTTTATATTAAAAAGTCCTTTTTCTCTATTGTCTAGAGATCGGTTTGTTTGTCCATTATCTATCTTTTTTTGTCCTAATCGTTCCTTTTAAGAGTGAACATTTCCTCTCTTTTCAAACTTAATCTACACAAGCTTCCACGCTAATTATCATATCTTTCTAAATTATGTCACGTCGACTTTCGATTCAAAATATTAACGGATGTTTGTTCAAAGGGTATTTCTGAAACSTTTATGAAAAGTCAAAGATAGTAGTTAAAACTTTTGAAATGATAGAGAAATTTTTTAAACAGATGGCAAAGTTCAAAATTTTACATTTGGAATGTTTAAATATGGCCTTCAATTTTAGAAATTTAGAGAGGCAAAGATAGGAAAATTTTGAAATCTTAATTTTTATATGCAACTTCTTTTGTTAAGATATAAATTTGGTCGSTATAGTCTCAATTTGGTTCCTATGATTTTAAAAGTTTCAATTTCCCATAAGATCAAACTTAGTGAATGCACTGTCATGGTGAAATTTTAATTAAAAAAAATGAAAGAAACCAGATCATTACAAAAGCAGGACTAAGAAGGACAACCAACATTTTTTAAGTACTAAAGCTAAGATAATTGTTGTGTTTTGTTTACTTAAGTTTTAATATTAAATTATTAGAGAAAAGTTATATTTTTTTCTCCTGTGCTTCAGTCAGTGAGTCGTTTAGACTAAATTTTATCAAAATGAATACTAAATTTGAGTAAGTTAAGTTGTAAACTAATACTTTCAGTTAATTATTATTTCTCAAGTGTTGTAAAGATTTATGGTTAACTATGAGCGTTCTTACAAGAATATTTTGTAGGATCTAATTCATATTGTCAAATATTTTTTTTAGTGAATTTGAGCATTTTTACATTACCTGTGTAATTTCATAAATAAGTTGTGAGAATTTTATAGTTCAGTTTTGAATGTTTTACTGGAGTGTTCATGAGTTGAGTTGGGTTGGGTGCAACGCCATGTTAGGCTCAACCCTATCCTTGGGGTATTCTTCTAACCCAAACTAGCATTTATTAAATTACAAACTCAACCCAATTCAACCCATAAAAATTGGGTTGGGTTGGTTCGGTTCCATCGATTCCTTATCGTGTCATTATATGGAAGAAATGTGTCATTACATGAAAAAAAATGTAACATATATACTTTAATATCCATTAAAATCAAGTAAAACATATGAAATCAAATAAAAATGAGATTCATTCCCTCTATACATTGAAACATTATTAAGATCCCATAACCAGTGGACACAAAGTCTCCAAAATTCACATACTAAAACGTAAATAATATCTCACAAGAACGTAGTCTCCAAGATCCGTACACTATAATACATAAATAAGATCCCACACAAGGAAAAATTTATCGAAATATCAAAGGGAAAGCTAGCCGAAATAGAATCTCCGGGAGAGCGACCTAGCGAAAGCAAGATAAGAGAAGAGGAAGAAAAAAGTGGTGGCAAGAAGCGAAGAGAAGAGGAAGATGATCAGACGAAGAGAACTCGAAAAGAAGGCAAAACTATGAGAGAGATGAGAGAAAAATAACTTTAAAAAAGTAAAAACTCTAATGTTGATATAAGAAATGGGCTGGGCTTCTAAGATATTTATAAAAGAAAAAAAAAAGAGAGAGGACCTTATTAAGGCCCAAACTTGAGAAAAAGACTGGCCCAGCCACCAAACTTGTACAAAATGGACAAAAATAGCCTTCTTTATCATTTCCAATATATTGTGAGAATTGATGTTTGCTTATGCTAGTTAATTAAATATAAATATTTATTTAAAACTTATACACATCGTACATATCTACCAATTTGAATATAGTTCAACTGATCMAGTAATTTGCATATAATATCTTTAGTAATTGAGTTGCATTAAAACATGATCAATGATTAACATTCAATATATTTAATAAGTGATTTACTTCAACCTATTAAGTTAAAAATTGACATTTCAYATAGTACTTATCCGAGGATTATTTAACCTCAAGCAACATAGTCAATTAGTTATTGACAGGGGATTCACACTAGACTAGTTAAAAATTTATATATTAACCATACTTAAAAAAAAAATAAAGAAAAAACATTTTTTGTCCTTGAGATTTGAAATTAATRTCTATTAAGTCATTTGAATTTCAAAATGATTACTTTTAATTAGTTTCAAAAAATGTTTTCAAATGATCCTTAAAGTTAATTGACACTACTAGTCAACTAACGAAAAAATGACTTACCTTCTTTGAATTCCCTTCAAGGAATACCTACCCCGATCTCGCCCCACTCCTGAACATCCCTATAGGAGCATTTACCTATTGAGCGGTGGAGGGACATTCGTAGAGATGAACTGAAATAAGGAGATGAGTAATGAGATCCTCAAAGTTGGGTCATTTTCTATTTTTATAAGAATTCCACGACCACTTTGATTCCRTCTCAAAACCAATTGATAATAGGAATAGCCCATGTTATTATAAACTATTGTAACGTCTATTTTCTTTTCGATGTGGAATCCTTAATACAAAAGATAAATGGTCATATAGATTGGATCAAATATCATCTATTCCAACCATAATCATTAAAATACTTCTACTACTCATATATATGTTAAGGATCTCACGTTGAAAAGATAAAGAGATCTAATAAATGTTTAAAACAGACATGGATCACTCCTCTCATTGTTAATTTAGATGAAACCCATGAATATTAATATGGTATCATTGTCTAAAAAGGGCAAACGAACGTCCGATCAACATCGATGAGCCAAAAGAATCACGATCTTAAAGAGACATGTTAAGAATCTCACATTGAAAAGGTAAGAGACCTAATAAATGTTTCTAATAAATTACACCAATTGATTTTGAGATCAAACTCCATGAATATTGATAATATATACTTTCCTGTATAACAAATTCCGACTTTAAATGAAATGCCTTTAACCAACTTTTAATTTACAAATTGAGTCATCATACCACAACAATTTTCCTATGGATCAATACCAAGCAATAGAGGAACAATCCGTAGCAAAGGCTCTAAAGTGTTTGGCAAAAATTTTCTAGCAAAAAGGAAACAAATGGAAGTGGAAGAATTTTGATGATGATCTTGATCACATGTTGATTCAAACCTTATMCAATTCAAGAACTCATCGGTTATATCATTCCATCCAAATTTTCTTGGATGAGGGCCTCCCTTGGACCAATCAACCCAAGTAATGCTCCTATTACAATTCAACTGTGGCTCCAACATATTCACCAAAGTTGGTATGTAATGCTCGTCCATGTAGCAAGGGGGGAGGCAATGGCTCTTGAAGATCGGATAGTACCTCGTGTCGGAGACGATGCGGAGGGCAAGCTTGCGGTGTATCTCAAACCACTGGGAACCCTTTCGCCAATCGGTTACGTTCACCGCAGGTGACATTTTAGGGTTGTAGCGGCCGCGGCCGGACTTCCTCGGGTCATCGAAGGAGGCGAGAAAGCTTAGGTTTGAAGTGATGAGATGATTGTAGATGGTGTTGAAGTTGAACAATGGAATGCAAGAGTCTGAGAGGAGAACAAATCTTTGGTTTGACAAGTCTAGAAGGGCGTTGGCTAGAAGCCGTCTCTCTGCATCTATCATGCTTGAAGTTCCCCAATAAACAGGCTGCATATACAAGTCAAAGTAACTCTTTTTAGTTTTTAAAATTTGGGTATAATTTTTTCGGTTTAAATACTATTTTACTTTTCATCGATCATTTTGGTCTATACACTTTTAAAATGTTAATTTTGGTCTTTGTACTCTTAATTTTTTTCATTTTAATTTTAATACATTCAAAACGTTCATTTTGATTTTTGTATTTTTAATTAAAATCAACCTTTTTGATTCATGTTTGCAAAACTTTAACACAAATTTTGTACTAATGCAATTCTTTAATACAAAATTATGGCTACATTTCAAAAACTGATTGAGTGTAGTATTATTTACTAAAAAGTGTGATTAGAAAAACAAGATAAAAAGAAAATGTAGTGTCCAAAACCGTCACTCTTTCAAAAGTCCAAAGGCCAAAATTAAAGTTTGTGAATAAAAACTGAAACTTTAAAGACTTTAAAACTAATGAATGGTATATGAATCAAAATAGTATTTAAATCAATTTTTTAAAAGCGTGAGAAGGTAAATAAATTATGAGGTAAATATATAAATATCATAAAATAAATATGTATTTTTAAATATAATTTAAAATTTTGCTATCTCCAAAACATTTTTTCTTCCTTCTAAGCCAGGATCGAACCCTTCTTTTGTTCTAACTCTTCGGACAACTAGTAAACTTTTACCTAGCTGCACGTATTTCAACAATATTTCTACATTTTAAGACAATTTTAATAAAAATATGAACTATATATCCTTATCAACAAAGTCCCGTTTAATGGCTATTTTATTCTCAAATTACAAATAGTTAAAGATTATCTATAAAAAAAATACCATCATTGAAATCTTCTATTTGAGAATATATATATATATATTGAAAACTTAAATTTATAGTATTGCTATTGAATTATCAATTCATCCAAAAGAATTACAGTAAAAATTGTTGGGTTTGTAGGTACAAACAAAGTCTTATGTTGGTTAGGGAAATGAGTGATCATGGTATATAAGGAAGAACAGTTATCTCCATTGGTACGAGGTTTTTAAGTGAAATCAAAAACAAAGTTGTGAGGACTATATCTAAAGCGGACAATATCATATCATATATTGTGGAGATACTTAGAGTACGAGGGATATCATTGTCCTCAACAAAAATTTACAAAAGTTTAAATATCAGACACCCTAATGTACCTGATGTTAAATCACCCACCAATCTAAAAGTTTAACACGGAAAATATAATGTTGTATGCAACCAAAGAAACTAACCTGACTAGGGATTCTTCTRCCGTAAAACACAGAATCTTGAGGGATTTCATCAGCATAAGAAGGATGTGGATGAACATAAATGGAGTAGAACCCATGATGGCCCTTAAAGAACTTCTCCCACAGAACCGCCAGTGGCAAAGGCCCCGCCGTCAAGAACATGAAGGCCACCTTCGGAGCAGAGTTATTGAGCTCCTCAATTCTTGGAACCATGGTTGCTCTCCAGAACAGCTCCTCGTCGGTCATGTTGTGGAGGAGAGAGCTTTGTTGTTCAAGGGAAACGCTTGAAGAGGCGTTAGATAAGACTAGAATCGTCGTCGATGACGTCGGGGGCGGAGGGGAGGGCGGTTGTGGCGGTGGCGGAGAAGACGGGGTCGGAGGGGAGGAAGAAGGAGGAGGTTGGGGAGTGAGGGAGAATGTTTTGAAGTATAAGCAAAGGATGATTCCAAGAGAGAAGCCTACAAGAAAGAAGAGGAAATGGAAGACATGTTTGAGGTGTAAATGGGGATTGTGGCACTTGGGAATCCATTGTGGCTGCTTTTGATCAAACCCCATCTTCTAATTTTCTTCAATCTAGAGAGAGAGTGGTGGGAAAGATGTGGGAGTTTTGGTTTGGATTTATTTGTATATATAGGTGTAGAGATTCAATAATGTATTTCGTAAATAAGTCTTTTATCCACTAGAGCGTTGTTCAAATATTTTTGGAGAGTACTTGAAAGTGAAGTTATAGAACCAGATTTCTATGTTTCATACCCTTAGAATTAATAGTATTAATTTAATACTATTTCCAAGGCAATTAGCTCGTCTTTTTTTTCTTATTCTGATTTCTATAATTGGATAATATATTGCATATGGGGGAAGATAGAGAAATAATTGGTGAGGAATTGACTTTAAAATGAGACATTTTTTAATTAAGAAAAATGTAAAAGAAGAAAAACAGTTGCCGACTTTCAAATTAAGAGTAATTTTTTGGTGTGATAATTAGAGAGAGGGAGTTTTTTTTTTTATTATTATTTGTATGTATAGATATTGGAACAATATATATTTAGGTGCTTAATCCATTAACACTCTTCTTTACAACTAAGCACCAACAAAAATTTTGACGGTTTTTTGCTTTTTTTTTCTCTCTCCAAGAACTTTATTCATTTCCTATTTGTAGAAAAAAAAAACTCTCATTATTTACTTATTCATCGTTAAATGGATCGATCTAGCAATGATAAAACTTGTATTATAGTCAAAATGAACATGGTTTAGTGATAATTGACATATATCTCCAACTATGAGGTTGTGAGTTCGATCTCCCACCCCACATGTTATACTAAAAAAAAGTATATTATATTTAATGAATCACAATAAATTTTATCTTACTATGTATAATAGCATGAAATACATATAAGCATAGGAATAAAAATTGAAAAAGTTTTTTTTTTAATATTTCTCTCTCGCATTTATCAAAATTTTAATGGTAATCAATAAAAGATGAATATTCATCGGTAAACGCCTAATATTTTTTCTAACTAGCCTTTAAAGGACTGTGTGAAGTTAAGAAACTTCAAACTTGGCATGCTTTACACAATGATGCCAATATAGAATGCATTGAAAGTTTAGGGGCAAGTAATATATAATCTTTGAAAAACTATTACTATTTCCAAAGACAAATTAGCTTGTCTTTTTTTCATTCTGATTTCTATAATTTGCACTGCATGTGGGAAGATAGAGGAATCATAGGTGTTGAATTGACTTTAAAATGGGAGTTCCTAAAATTTTAAATTAGTAATGGACCCATTCAACACTTTTTTTTTTTAATTCATAGGCCTATTAGATATAAAATTATTTTTGGTACAAATTTGTTAGTCACTTTAAAATTCCAGACCTATTTGATACAAATTTTTACATACCACTTAAAAGATCCAGGAACTAAATTTGTAATTCAAGGGAAAAAAAAAACCATGAATATCACTAAAGTAGAGGTTCTTTCTGATCTTTGGATTGGAGAAATCAATTTCCATATCACTATTTATAATATGATAAATTTAGAAATTGAAATGAAGAGTTTTTTTTTTAAATACCAATATAAAATATCTCTTAAAAAATTAGTTGTACAAATACAATTTTGTTGTACTTCTGTTCTTAAAAAGGTAATTAAAAAATCGTATTCAATATATAGTCCCACTAATTAATCCTTTAAGCGTTCATCATCCATATGTTATCAATGATATAATATGTTTTTATCATAATAATGAAATGTGAACAAGATTTGAACAAAAAAAAAATGTGAACAAGATTGTAAAAGTTGTCACCCCAATTTGAAGTTTTATTATTATAATTTGATTGAGCAAAATCAAATATTATATAGGGCCATGTGAGTCAAACTCTTGTAGTTAGGTCTACAACTTACTCTACGCGCAAAGAAAATTAGCTTTTGAGAGTCAAAGTTAAGGAAGGAAAAAATTTAGTCAATTAAAGTTGATAATAAATGTGAAGTGAGGAATTTGCAAAATGATTCTCGATCCTTCAAATAGTGTATTTAGCTTTATTTAAAAGCTTCTAAGAGTCTATTAATCAAGAGTAACGATGAAGTACGGTTCGACGGTAGGCAAATAGAGTATGTCGAACATGTCGAACAATTATAACTTCAAACAATCTTTGTCGAACTTCACTGTCTCTAGGTGCAATTCTTCCCACAAATCTTGAAGATAATTGTTAAATAGACACGATCTTCATACGTGATATCAATGGTTATCTYTTTAAAATAATACCAAAATATTGAAGAAATGAGGTATACGAATTTTTGAATTAAGCACGATTACTCTAAAACTCATTACTGACAAAATCTTCGGAGTGCTAACTCCTTGCCTTAACTCCTTACCTTGCAGGATATCTTCTTCTTCAAGTAGTCTTGGAGACATTAATGCTTTGGCCAATTCCGAAAACAAGTAGGATTGTGAAAATCAACCGTAGTATTTTATTTACTGTCTAGTCATAAATTTACCTTTAGATGATTTTCTATTTAGGTTTCATGTTTTTCCAAATCAACCAGACAACAACAAAGTTCTAGTTGATCTTACTTCTTGATCAATAATATCCTTTTGTAATTTGTTTTTTTAGGGATGTTTGGTTCGTTGTTTTGACATGGTTTATTAAGTCTAAATTTGTTAAGTCTCGTTTTAATTATTAAACTAGGGTTTGTTAAATCTATGTTTGGTTGGTGTTAAGTCTCGGTTTGTTAAGTTTGTTAAGTTTGTGTTTTGTTAAACTAGATTTATTAAACTTTGTTTGGTTGGTTGAGTTTAATTTTCTTTAAAAAAAATATATAATTTATAAACTAATTATTTAATTTTACAAAAGTCMATTTTCTTTTGAAATTAGGAAATATTATTTTAAGGATATATAAAATATTTTTAATACATTTGTCCATCTATTTTTTTCCAACGATTAATTTTTAAAATAAATATTCAATTATCTTTTCAAGGAAATCAAAGTGTAAACAAGAGTATACAAATTCATTCGACATAAATTTTACCGTAGAGAAAATGTTATCAACAATTTATTTAATTTTTCACTATTTACTATCTTAAGTAAATTTGGTTACTTAATTATTCTAAAAAAATTGATTATTTAATTATCATCAATATTACYATTAAATTTTTCATTAGTACATTTTATTACAAAGTGAAAACATTTTAAATAATCCTTGTTTATAAACTATTAACTTCATAAGTTAAAAAAAGATATAAAATTAAAATAAATAATTATACAAAATTATAACGTCTTTTACATATATCATAGTGATAACAAAAAGTAAATAAAAATGATAGAAACAAGAGGCGCAACTTTATAAAATGAAGAGAAAAAAAAAGACATCTAGAAATGGATAATCTTGGTAGGTGAGTACCTATATACTAGCCTGTTTATAAGGTGCATTGCCCCAAGCTTTTGTATTTATTCTTTGAACCCTTAATTTGAAATCCTATAAATTCCACAAGGAGACTTCTTGAAATAATAAATAATAAATAATAAATAAAGACTTCTTTAGTGTGGTCAATCAAACATTGGGAGAAGGGTGGCTCCAAAGCAATCTCCAACCTTCACTTAGAGTAAAATTGAAGTTATGTTTTTAAAACAAAAGGCTTCCATTTTCCCATTTTGACTTTCAAACTCCAAACTTTGGCTTCCTTTAATTAATTTAGTAGTATTATAATCTACCTATGCATTCTTTTAATTTACTCACTCTTACTCTTTCTCCGTATTTTATAATTTAGGTAAAAAAACGATAAAGTTCGAAGATATAATCTAGAGTTCTCTTCAAACTCAATTTAAATTATATAGTAATGTTACCAAAACTGATACAACTAACAATTTTTCTTTTACTTTCGCCACAACAAACAAAGTTTAATAGTTAAAAACATATTTATCTCATTGGAGTAGGAGATTTGAGCCACCTTGTTTTTGATGTAATGTTCTTTGAAAAAATAAAAATAAAAATGAAACTTTCTTTATCCTCATTTTGACCTATTTTAATTTAGATTATTAAGTTTGTCCCAATTTAGTTTCCAAACTAATTTTAACAACTTGGACATGTGCTTCCAAATCCAACTATGTTTGGGAACAAGTCTGGTAAGTTTTTGCTTCACTAGTAATCCATCACAGCTGTTTTAAGACATGAAATTTGCTAAATTCTCTCATCAGAAGTTTTTCACCTTTTAAGGAAAATTAGCATTAGTTTATGTCCACCTTGGAATGATCCAATTGTTCTCTCATGAACCCATTTGATAACGATAATGTTCCTTTTTTTTTCGTTTTGAATTTTCGAGAAACATAACCATTTGGTAGTTATTTTTTGCTTCTCATTTTCAAGAAATGTTTCTAAATTGTGAAGAAATTTTTAGAACAATAAAGTCAAGCTTCTTGTGGTGTGTTCCCATTGGAAGCACTGTTCTTGACTTATAAAATGCAAACTAAATATTAAAAGATAAAGATAACATAACAATTTTTTAATATTTATAATTTTAAAATTAAATTTCATATAATAAATGTACTTTTTTAATTTAAATTTTTAAAAAAATAATAAACAAAAAATGGTTATCAATAAAAATTAAAAAAAAAAAAACAAAAATCTAGAAATCAAGAAGCAACTCCCTAATGCAGTTCTATTTTCATTTATTGAAAAAGAAACAACAAGAAACTAGAAATCATGAAAGGCCTATATAACTACATTTTTTTTCTCTCTCTCTCTCTCTTTTTTTTTTGTCCTCATATCTTGCTTAAAAGCTATTATTGTCCATGATTATTTTTTTTGTTGCTTACAAACTATAGCTTTAGATGGTCAAAAGAAATTTTAAAAACTATAATATTCAAATGGCCACAATAATTATTCAATTATTTGAAAAATCAAAAACATGGTTTTAGTTTTCTTTTCTCTAGTATAACATGGAAGAATATAGATTCGAACTCACGATCTTTTAATGAGCTACGATGAAGTTGTAATTTTCTTGTTTTAATAATTGGTCAAATAGCATAACAATATAAAAACGTGAAAAAATGGAGAGTTGAATAGCACTATATGAAAAGTAAATGGTAGTTCACCAATCATTAGAAAATCATTAGTTGAGCTATCATGAAATTATTTAAAGGGTACATAAGTTAATATGATCGGGTAACGAATAASATTAAATAAATGATTAAAAATTATTGGGATTGAAGTGTTGTGTAGTATTAGCTTCACGTTTATAGATTTATTCTTGGTGTATATGCTTGAGGAACGCCAATTAGTAACCATTTACAAAAAAATTAGATACCGAAATTTTACTGGAAAAACTCCACAAATATGTGCAAAAATCACATAATAAATTTTTAAAGATAACTTTCTATAGTGTCAAAATATATTAAATTTATATTTGTTTTAGAGTTGATGTGACATTTTTCTCTATTTTTCCAAGAAATCACTCATCAATTATCCAAGTAAGCGGAATCCACTCATCCATTTAACTGCTACATTATTACACGTTAATTTGTTTTCATGGCTAATAAACTTCTATCTTGAAATTTAGAGACTAAAAGTATATTTTATCCTTTTATTTATTCTCTTGGAGTCAAAAAGTCCTAACTTTAATTACCATAAAATAGCTATTATATTATTTTGCTTACTAAATGAACTTTCAATGATAAAGGYTAAATATATATTTTTGCGAATTATCTTCTAAAATGAAGGATGAAAGTGTGAGATATCGAAACTTAGAGGCTAAGTGGACATATTACCCAAACCTAAAGGACTAAAAAGGTAATTTATCCTATAAACTATAGTATTTTAAAATTTTCATTTTAATTAATCTTTAATTAACATTTTAACGTTTTTTAAGTATAYTCTTAGACRATGAACTTATTTGGTTTGATACTTCATGGAAATAGAAACCACAGAAAAAATATCAAATTTTCAACAAACTTCTAACATGGAGGAATTAGAAACTCTGCTCAGATGACCTAATTTCTCTTCTAAATTTTTGTCCACTCACTATTTATCATATCATCTCAATTTATTATCAGTAAATTTTAAAATTCATCCATCACCATAGTATTATTAAAGAACGTCAAAACACAAGGGACTAAACTAAACTTTTTAAAATAAAAAAAAAATATCACGAACTAAAACATAAATCATAACTCGCAGCATATGAAATCAAATTTTTAAAATTTACTATTTTAACAAAAGTAAATAAAAATAAAAAATCATTCATTTTTTAAAACACGAAATAAAAACACATTTAAACTCATTAATTGKGGCCAAACACATCAATTACAATTAAAATTCCCTTCTGTTACCACAAACCTAGAATTTTAGCCCCAAATATTTTCCTGCCAAATTTTGCTTCAAATCTAAGACTTCAATAAAACTCGAAAAAATTAGCAGAAAAATGAAAGAGTATATAATACAAAAAAAAGCATGAGATCTATCGAATAATTACAAGTCYTTACAAACTTATGCTCAAAATGAGACATTGAACCTAGCAAAGGATCGAACATCTTTCAAAGACGCCTCGGCACCCCTGGAGATTCTATTATTTCTCTCGATTTAGTTTATCTGTCCAGCATCTGGATTATTCAGTTAAATTGATCAAGAAAACAAAGTGCCATTGTTCTTTAGCAATGTCCCTATGCTCAAAATTCCAGCTAATGTTACCAATATGAACAATCAGCGTTCACAACTTGACCTCCAAAAAGAAAAGTATAGTTTGATGGTACAAATCAGAGAAAAAAGGACATACCGTTCAATGTAGAACGGCAGACCACCGTAGATGGAGGATGACTGAAACTCAAATATAGACTCGAACTTATCGCCGCATGCTTCTAGTTAAATCCATCAAGCTGTGGCACTAAGTATTTGTTCTATTTCCTCCAGCGACCGCCCCTTCGTCTCAACGATATTACGAGCTACATACAGTACAGCAAGCAAACAGACAAAGCCGAATCCGAAGTAGACCTTACTGATGCCGAACTTGTTTACAACACTCAAGAAATAGAGGCCGATGAAGAAGTTTGAGATCTGATAGAGGAATACAATAAAATTCACTATAGTAGAACGAACAAAAGCACGTAAATTGAGTCTTAAGGTCTCCGTAGAGCCTGATGTTGTGTGTGCGCGGGCATGTCAGGCTCGTTCTTATCTATTATTATATTTCATTTCATATTTTGGATAGGGGAGAAAATAATGAGCAAAGAAAACTTTGTGAACTTTAATAATCTTATGGTTCCTATTTTGCATTTCTCATCTCTTGGTTGAAGTCTATTGTTTATTATAGTGCCATGAAATAAATGACAAAGGAAGTGAAATTGATAGGATATCAAGAGCTCTTTCCAGTAGGTAAACTGATACTAAAAGCGGCACTATTTCTAAAAACTTACCCAATGAGTGCCTAAAGATAAAGCAACTGCTTTCGCTCGGATTCTCGAGGCAAATATTTCTGGTAGAAGAAGGCCAGGGACTGGACCTGCCCCAAGTGAGAAGGATAACACGTAGCTGCAAATAAAGTTCAAAATTCATATTCTAAACATGACAAAAGAAAGATATAAGCTAATCATCTCAAAGAACGCGGATAAAGTCAGGATGTCTTACAGAACAGTCCCGAGAACTGCCAGGGTGCCTGAATAGGGAGCCAGAGCACTCCAGCTGAAGGTCAGAGAGAGCAGCAACATAGAAGCAGCCTATAAACAGTCACCAAGGATAGTGTCATCTCCCAAGAGATATACGGATTAATCGCTTGTAACGAGCACATAAGTAAATAACATACCATTCCCCAAAAGCTAATGAYCAGAAGACTTTTCCGTCCCTGACGGTCCATCAAAGAAGATGCAATAGTGGTGCCTGGAAGATTATTTTTCACCCCATTTTACAAAAGGGTGTGTTGATGCATAAAACAAGCTTTAGTCAAAAAATGATTAAGAACGAACCAAAGACATTTGCTGCTGCAACAAGAGCACTAGCTGCAATATCAGAAGCAACTCCAGCACTGCGAAATACCGATGTTGAATAATACACCACAGCATTGATCCCCGACAACTGCTGGAACAGGAAGAGTGCAGCTCCAATGCTAACAACTGCAACAAAATAGGTTAGTGGTAACTGGTAAAGGGTACATATTCTGATAGGACTGCAGTAATCACATCCCATATGAGTAAAAGAGAAAGCGACCCAAAATGCAATATAGAAGTCGTAACCAATGGAAAGCAACAGATATCCATCTCAACTTCTGAATAGGATTAATCTCTCTAAGCACTGATGACAACATGAACTTTATCTTAAAATTCATGCCAAAAACGATACACAGCAAAATGATAATGAACCATCCAATTCATTTTTATGAAGCACAAGTCTCAAGCACATTAAATGCAAATCGAATTAAGTGATTGAAAACAACCCAAGAGGCCAATAAGCACAAATATAGTTGGATAACTAGAACTTGTCCAAAATATTGAGATTACCTTTCCAATAGCGGCTACTAAACAGATCGGACCACCCTGCTTCAGGTTCTACCGAACCCTGACTTGCTGCTGTGAAGTCTTGCATAACTTCAACTACTCTCTCTTTTCCATAGAGTGTCTTTATGGCTCTCTCGGCCTCAGGAAGTTTCCCTTGCTGCACAAAGTGTTGTTCACCACACCGCTTTACTACGGAGTACATGCAACTATGTATAACTAGAAAATAATGTAGTGCCCATATATCTTAGCTTCAATAGCTAGTGAGTAATTATTGATTTATGGTAACCTGATAAAGCCAACGTGGACTTTCTGGAGACACTGCCATTCCAATGGCCAATAGAACGGCTGGAACCATAGAAATGCCAAACATTGTCCTCCACCTGATAAAAGAAGTATTACGCTAATAATCAGAAAAGGATACACTTATATGCTCATAACATGGAATGAATTAGAAAAATTCTTTTTTGGGTGTAGAAGTCAAGTAAATCCTCTAGCAAACATCAATCTCTTTTTATTAGATGAATTCAGTTCACCTATGTAGAATCTCAAGTCTCAAGAGCAAAGAGATTTAGTGAACGATTTTCAAGGAGAATATTATATGTACATTCATTTTACATGGATAAAACAGTATTCAAATTTTTGAGCCACATATTTTTCATCAATGCACATCACAAATGATACTAAAAGATGAGTTCTCACAGATGAGTATTTTGATATGATATCCAAAAATCCAGAACCTAAATCATTACTCGAATAGAAACACCGTCATTGATATAGGTCGACCTTGTACTGGCTCTTTTAACGAATCAATATCTTTGGTCCTCTTATCCTTTCTCAAATGTAATTTCAATAGATATCAACAAACAAGAAAATACGAGCCAATATCCTCATTTTCTAAAATACTTGTGAATATGTATTTGTTAAAGTAGTTGCAAAAAGAGCATTTCTTAAAAGAAATAATCGCATAGATGTTGATCGAGATAGTCATATTAAGTTCTAATAATCGTGCATTCTATTTTTTTAACTTTTTTTTTTGGGGGGCCTAAATTATGCTAGATTTGCAGCTGGCCAATCAAATAAAATGCATAACCCTACAAAAGAGTTGTTGGGACTTGGGAGTATCATCTCCATGATGCTAATATGTGGCTAAACAAAATGTATACATTGGTGTGGATAAGGATGCCATAAGGGTTGGTGACCCAAGCTTGAWAGACAAGCCCTTTCACCAAGGCCTAGGCCCAATCCATCACCCCCGGCCAATGAGGCTCGTCGAATCAAAGTTTGGATCAGCCTATTGCATACACAAGCCACGAGGGACACCTCGAGTTTGGATCGGCCTATTGAATCAACCTTTTYTATACTATATTTTTAACACAAATTTTTTGTTCAACAAGCCTTCTTTTCAAACTTAATTTTTTAAGACTATTATTGAAATTTTATGCTTTTTAAAAATTAAGAGTTCTAATTAATATTTCTTAAATTTAAATTAGAAGTTTTTAAGCTAATCTTTTAACTCTTTATTTTACTTCCTTGGTACGTAATCGTGATGTCTTTTAAAAAATGAAACTAATATGAATTACTATTATATATAGTATATAAATTTCAATTTGTATTAAATATAATACATTTATACATTACATATAAATTATTATATTATACAACATATGTTATAGGGCAGGTTTAAAATCTAAGTATAACTAAGACCTAATAATTACAAAAATAATTTGCCCAAAAAAAATTGTAATGTGGCAAAAGCATGTAAATTGGTGATTCTTATAAATTATAATTATCCCAATTAATATATAGGTCAATCATCATTAGTTACATAAATCAAAAAGCTAAAAACAGAAATAATAGTTTTGTATTAATCCTTTACCATTATTGAAACCTCCAATTTACAAATATAATTTAGATGAGAAATAAATAAACTCACTTCATTTATTTGCAAGCATAAATCATAATAAATATAAAATCAAAGCAGTAAAGAATTTCATAAAAAAGAAGTGGAAGGGAAAATTAATAGATATGAGCCACACATACCAAGCAGGGTTTCCTACCAAAGGTAATCCAGCTATCAATGCTGAAAGGATTCCAACACATATGAAAAGTTGATTCACAGATCCTAGTGTTCCACGAATTTCAGTTGGTGAAATCTGCATATTTTTTTAAATAAAGAATGTAAAACAAAGTCAAAAAATGGCAATTTGATCATAATATCGAAATTTACGTAACAAAAACTCTCAAAAACAGATACCTCAGATATGTAAAGTGGCACAATAGCTGATGAAATACCGATGCCAAGACCAGTAAGCAGGCGCCCAATTATCATAGTTTGCACACTCTGGGCAGTAGCACTGAAAATATTTGGCACACTTTACGCATCGCTTTCGAAAGATGATTACAACATGATATGGTCACGTAAGATACCGACCTTAAAATTGCTCCTACCGTGAGCGGGATTGCATCCAACTGAAAACTCCTAGTTCTGCCAAACTTGTCAGCCAATGTTCCACCAACAAAAGATCCAATCGTGGCACCAATAAGGAGTGTACTAACAATCCATCCTAAAAAATATGTCATATCGTGAAAATTTGAGTTCAATAGTCATCGAGAAGAAACAATATTAAGAGCTTAACTGAAAGTTTAAGAAGGAATTAGAGAAGATAAATTACAATGATTTCTGAAATTCACAAAAAATGGTAGTTAGAGAACCTCCCAATTCATCAACTCAAGCAAGCAATGTTGCTGAAAATTTACTTCTAAAAACGACTAGATGCATAAACTATGAGTGTGTATGAGAGAGAGAGAGAGAGAGATTCTAGTAAATATATTACAATCCTTGCCTTGTACTACAGTATTTTCCAAAATTCCAAGATCCTTGGAGAGGTACTCAAGAGCGCCATTTACCACCCTGAAACAAATAACATAACTGTAAGCCGTACACAGAGTTATATTATAAGTTATGCACTGACATTTTTTCCTCTCAGTTCTCTTTTTCTTTTTCCTCTTCTTTTTCTTTTTCGAAGAGGGGGAGGCTGGGTGGTGAGGCAGGTTTTTAATATATTTACTCCATGAAAATTGTACCCGAGATGGTAACCGAATAAAATGGCTCCTAAACAAGCAACACCGACAAATGGCAGAACAGTGCCAGAAGGTTTGCCTTTAGGCTTGGCAGGAACAACACCCTCCACATCCTCATCTGAAATATATTACCAACAAGTTAGCGATATTATGATCTACATGTATATACTTAAAACTTCAATATCAATAGCGAGGAATATACATCTCGAAATGCATGGATTTAAAGATCTTTTGCAAAGAGCCACATAAACTAAACATATAGTATGAGKATCGAGGTATAACAACAGAACAGCATATCGAAAGATAGTCCAGCAATCTGATTACTTGCACAAAATCCACACGTCATTCTGTAGGTAATAGAGAAAAGAAGGAATAAGTGAGAGTGTCCTTGGGAGAAATCACCACAGCAATAAACCCATGAAACCCAAGACAAGATTATGTACAACTCTGTCTTTTTAAGGACGGATGTTTTTTTTATCAATGTCAAAGAAAGATGTGAAGGCAACATCGAACCACAATCGGCTTATAAAGGATTGTCATAATTAAATTACATGGCAATTAACTGCAAAATTAGGAACCAGAGCAACGAACATTGGCAAGCATGAAGCATCTACAATCACTTCGCCACAGGTAAATCAACAACTTCTTAAAATAAAACTGTGCAGAAAAAGGCCTTCAGAAGTTGAAACTGATGCAAAACACACACAAAGTGAGTTTGGAATAAATGTTGAAAGTAATGTTTTTAAGTGAACCACATTTTTAATAAGCAACTTTGAAGGAGGCRATCCAAAAGCATTTTAAAAGTGTTTTAGAAATTTTCAAAATCCCTTTGACTGTAAGTGAAGCACCTTTGAAAAATGAATTCTAAAAGCGCTTTAAAATGTTTTAAATTGTTATTAGAACAGCATATGTTTTATTACCTTTTACCAATTCAAAACTCCTACCAAACKCACAAACAGAGGATATAGATGACATCTATATCATCAATATTGAAAACATATGAACACTTCAAGGAACAATCGCATACCAACTTCAGTAAAACAAAACAAATTCAGAAAACCACTAAAACGAACAAGAAGAAAGATTGGCTCAAAATGGAAAGCGAACAGCTAGAGTTGGGCCAAAAGTGGGAATCAATTTGGCCAAAGTCAACTTCCTTTAGTTACATTCTAGAAGAATGAATCCAAAACAAAATTGAATCAACCACAGCGAAGATAAAGAGTACCATAAGCGTGGGTGTTGAGTGACTTAAACTTAGCAGAGGAACGAGAAATGCCATCAAATCCAAGCCGAAAACGTCTCATCTCAGTCTCCATAGTTTCAGAGCCGAAGCTTAGACCACAGCAACCCCTCCTCTCAGACATTCGGAGCCTTCCCGATCCCAAACGCCCACCAGATTCCCCCAGAAAAATCCTTCGGTTCTGAAACCCAGAAGAACAACTTACGCCACTATTTACCAACGCCGAAGCTTGCATTCTTATCCCCCCCCTGAGAAAATTCCACACACCCACAAAGTCAAACCCCTAAACTAATAAAATCCCAAAGAAAGAAACTCAAACTAAATTAATGAATTATCCCAAAAACCCAAGTGGGTATTAGAGTCTTTGAGTGCATTGTAAGTAAAAAACAGAGAAAATGGGTTGGAGATCTAAGTAATGGTTTGATCTTAGAGAAAACAGAGGAAAAACAGAGAGAAACTTACTGTAGATGAAACCCACAAAGCAAATCGGTTAGTAGCTTTCTGATTTGGGTGTCTGCAAAATTCCTTTTGTATCTCTTCTTCTTCCTCCTCTCTATTTAGTGGATCTCGTCAGTGACAGCGAAGAAATGCTTTGAAAAATCCGCAGAAAGAGAGAGAAATGGCGTTTCACTAAGAAGAGAAAAATTGGAAGAAAGTAAAGCAAACAGAAAAATCCGATGGTTTGGGGCTGTTTCTACTTCTTTTATCTCTGCTCCATCAATCGGAATCGGATTGGATTTCTCGTAAATTTGAAGCATTAATTAACTAAACATTCACATGATTCGAAAAGATGAGGATCCCGCTGTTTACTCGACAGTTGAAGGCTGAAGCATCGCAACAAACCGTCGAATAGATAAAATTTTACGACGGTGTCAAATCTCATAAATCACATACATAATAATTTTAGAGTTAAATATCATTTTTCCCCTTTTTTTTGTTTTTTTTCCCCTAGAAGTATATCACTTTTGAATATGATTTTTAATATTTTCAAGTAGGGTAAATAACATTTGATCTAAAAACACTTTCCATGATGTATTTTTATTAAAGTAATTATTTATTCTTCTCTGTATTGTTTCCATTTTATCCAATGTACCTACGTAATTACTTATTCTTAAACTTTAAATTATTATGGTTTAGTCTATATAYTTWCAGATTTTTAAAAATCTAGTTTATGAATATTTATGAAATAATTTAGTCTCTGTTAAAAGATAYTTTTAGTACAGGGATGGGAGATTCAACCTCTAACAGGTAAGATAGTTGATGCTTGTGTTGCCAATTTTTTACTTAATAATATTGCTAAAATTAAAAATTAAAGTAAGAAATTAATCAACATTTAATTATTTTCTTTAAGTAGGTAACTTTAATATCAAATTAAATATCATCCTGATCCTATCAAAATTTAATTTTTTTCCTTGAGAAAAAATATTCTTTTTTTGAAAGTACAAGTRTACAACATGTAGAAATAGAGATCAAATTCACAACCTCTTTATTCGAGATATATGTCAATTTATCAGGATCACTTTATCGAAGAAAATATTCTTAAACTTTACATTTATTTTTTAAATATCCCTCACCTATTTAAAAAATATAGAACTAAAAAATAAACTACAGCAACTATCAAACGGAATGATATATTGATTGTAATTTTTCTTTTGTTCGTTTGTTTTTTATATCTGTAATTTCAGTCATTTCTTTTTAGTTCTAAAGATCGGTTTTAATCACTACGTCATAAAATAAGTGAATATCATTGTACAATTCCTAATATCCTATATTATTGAAGATTGAATATTAAAATTAAATAGGTTACTGATATTATCTTGCACTAACTATGGTAAAAATTTATTGTTTCAAAAGAAAAAACTGTGATAAAAATTTATAGCACTATGAGAATATGGATACTCTTCCCATCCGTTATCTACTACGTTAATATCATATTAAAAATAACATTTACCAACTTTAAAATGATATTTATAGAGGTAAAAAATTATTGGTGAACAAAAGAATGGGTATTACCAGAATATTAAAAAGTTTATAGGTACTTCCACAATATTAGAGATTTTATCATTAACTACGTTTTTTTTTATATCTATCATTAATTACATTGAGGTGAGCAAAATGTGGATATAATTAAGATTAAAGTAATATTTTGATGTCTTTGTGCTTTTAAAATATGTTTATTTTAGTTTCTGTTATTTCATATTTTGGTTGATTTTAGTATTCGTATTCCTATTATCTCCATTTTGATTTCTGTACTTTAAAAAGAGACTATTTTAATCCTTATTTATAAAAATTATACACACAAAGAAAATTCTTTAATATAAAATCATGATTATACCCCTCAAGAAATATATTGAATATAATATTGTATYGAAAGTATGATATAAAACTAAGATTAAAAACAAATTTAAAAGTTATATAAAAGTACCGCAGTTAAAACAAACATTTTAAAAATACATAAACTAAACCGAAATAAAATTGAAATTATATAAAGTAAAACGAACATTTTTTAAAGAACTGAGAGTAATTTAAATTAAAATTAAAAAATGGAAACTATATTTTAAAACAGGAGACTAAAAAAACAATGATTTGGGAATGAGGGTCGGTAGAGATTGGGATTATGTAATAAATTTGGTGAAGGAAGCAAATGGGATAGTATATAGCTCTTGCCTTTGTGGATCCACGTCAGACTTCTCTTCTGACTGTACATTCCCATCCCATGTGGGATAATATATAATCTTTTCAACCGCTTGCCGAACATGGAAATGCCTTTAGAATAATTGTACACTAAACGGTGAAAGTACGGGAAATTTTCATAAATAATGTAAGTTTTTCTTTTTTAATTTTCTTTTCGCTGTCAAGCTTGCAGTGGCTGTCAACTCTTTGAGTCACTCCCATGTTTAGGCATCTATTCCATCTTTTGAGTTTTAAAATCAATATTTTTCGTTTTGGAAATTTGAGAAATTGTTCAAAATTTTTTTACGTTAATTTACTAATATTAAAATAACAGGAAATTAAATTATTTGTGGCAAATTATATTAATTAAATAATATATTATTGGGATACTTTCTCTCCCCACCCCTCATCTCTTAGGTTTTTTTTAATAATGCTATTGTCGAAACTAATTACGAAAATATGTCACTTCCCAAATTATTTCCAAAAATAATGTTTTGGAAATAGCAGGTCGACGACCTGTGAAGTGGCAAATATTTGTCGTATCTTCCAGAGACGACCAGCTAACGTGACGTTTTGTAAGTGCCATGTTAATTTTTTTTTTAAAAAAATAAGGCTTAATCGTCTCTTGAAGAGACGACATGTATAGCGGGATTTCAAAAATCCCGCCTAATCGTCTCTTCAAGAGATGATAATATTATTCTAAGCAAAAACAAAACTATTATTATTATTATTATTATTATTATTATTATTATTATTATTATTATTATATATATATAGGGGTGAGCAAAATCTTCCAAAAAATCGATCCGACCAAAAACCGACCCAATTAGCGTTGGTCGATTGGTTTACTAAATCAACCGGTCGGAGTCGGTTTTTCGGAGATAAAACCGACTAGTTGTCGGTCGGTTTGGTTGAAGTTTGACTTCCGACCGAAACCGACCGACCTCATTAGCACTGAAAAAAGATGTAAACGCGGTACACAGCTGTGCATTGGAAACCAGCATCGACTGGTTTCCCAATGTAATATGATTTTTTTTTTATATTCAAAATTTTAATTTCGTACTTTCTTTCAACTTTATCTCTCATTTTGCTTTCTTTTCACCCTCTTCTACTCTCTCTCTCCCATTTCCATTCTCTTCTCCTCTCCTTTCTTTTCATTTGGTTTATTTCTGTAAAGGTTCATCTTCCTCTTTCTTTCTCCATTTTCCCTTTCTCTTTTTCTTCTTTTCGTTTCTACTCTTTTTTTTTTGGCATTTGTTTTTCTTCACCCTTTCCTCTTTTCTTCTCTGCTTTCTTTTTCTTCTCCCGTTTCTACTCCCCTTTTTTTTTCTCTTTTTTCTCCTCTCCTTCCTCTTCACCAAACCGATCAAAACCGACCGACCGTCGGTGTAGTTGATCGGTCGGAATCGCGAAACCTTCTGAAACCGATGAATTCCGACCGATGGAAATCGAATTTATCGCTGGTCGGCGACGGTTGGAGTCCAAAACCGACTCCGACCGACAGATGATCACCCCTATATATAACACAACGTTTAATAACAAAATGAATACTGTGGCGCAGTGGACAAGAGACCGTCTTATAAGTTAAAAGGTCACGGATTGAGTGGTGATATTCGAGTGATGACGTTGTGTTATATATATATAATAATTGTTTTGTTTTTGTCTAGAATCATATTGTCGTCTCTTGAATAGACGATCAGGCGGGATTTTTCGAAATCCCGTCAAGACCAAACCTTATTTTTTTAAAAAAAATTTACGCGAGCGTTTGCCACTTCACAGATCGTCTCTTGAAGAAACGACATGCTATTTCCAAAACATTATTTTTGGAAATAGTTTGGAAAATGACACATTTTCGTAATTACTTTTGAAAATAGCATTATTAAAAAAAGTTAACTTATTAATTTTTATAAAAATTATGTATTTATTGTCAAATATTGAAGAAGATCTATTAAATTTTCCAATAATAACAATTGTTTAAAGTTGGGGAGCTGATTAATTTCATGCAATAAATTTATAGTTTAACCAATGAGCTGAATTGAGGCTTGGCTTCGAGGTGGGGATTCTATCTAGAAACGCCTTCTTCTCCCTCCCTATTGAAAAATCTTCAAAATTGCTTTCGGAAAACTGAATTTAGGGTGCGTGTTCTACGTCTTCTACGCCGATAACAACTTCCGCAGCTGCTCCTCAACTTCTTTTTCAATCGAAACATCCAATTCAAGCGCAGGTTCAGTCTTTTTATCTTCTTTGCTTTCCTGAAATTTGCTTTTGATTCCGTAAATTGCCTCTTTTTTTGTTTTTTCTTCTCGTTTCGCCTGGAGAAATTCAATGAAACCACACGATTCTTCCTGGGTTTTCTCTTTCCCGGTGTAGGTTTCAAATGTTATATGCAGTATCGGTCCAAAGTGTTTGCTTATTGTCCAATTCGAGTAGCGCCCATTTCCGTCCTCGTTTGCGAAAGCGTCTAGTTCCGACGAGACTCTCCGTTCGAGCTTCGTTGCTTGACAATGATAATGGCGTTAAAGTGGAGTATACTCCGTGGCTTATTGTTGGACTGGGTAACCCTGGAAATAAGTACCATGGAACTAGGCACAATGTAATTCAACTTTCGTAAAGTTATTGTACTGAATTTTTTTAGTGCGTTTTGAAGGTGGATTTTGATAGTAGTACTTTTGAATCTGCAATGACACTTCATGACATTGTCCTCTTGGGTTGTTCTGTTCAGGTTGGTTTCGAAATGATTGATAGTATTGCTCAAGCGCAGGACATTTTGATGAACACAATTCAATCCAAAGCTCTGATTGGAATAGGTTTGCCTTTTTTTTTTTGCCTTACCTTATATGTTATTGAATTGGTTTCCATCTAATGTGGATTTGAAATTCATTGAGTTTCTTGAATGATCAGTACAGGTTCAATTGGAGAAGTGCCAATTTTGTTGGCAAAGCCTCAGACTTACATGAATTTCTGCGGAGAATCGGTTTGTCTACTCATATCTCTCTTGTTTTCTTTTGTTCAATAGACATGGTACAAATTTAGTAAGGCTGCAAACTTAGTAACGATCCTAAGGATATCTCTATTGTTTTCATTTGAAACAATGTGCCATAGTATCAATGTTGCAGTTAGATAAGTATGTCGAGATGAGTCACGTATGTTAGGATATTTTGAGCCCTGCATATATATCAATGATTCTTTTCTTAAATTTCTATGCTTCTTTCTGTTTAGTGTTAACTTTGCTACATGTGTCCAATTGTCTATCTGCTATGAATCTTCCCTTCATTTGTTGAATTAGTCTGTAGCAACGTCATCTTTTCACCTCACTTTCTGTTTTAATTTTTATAGGTTGGACCACTTGCTGCACATTATCAAATACCTTTACGGCATATCTTGTTGGTACGAATTGCAATATGATATCTCTTTGCAAAATGGCTACATTGTAATGAAAGTATCCACTACATATACTTTCCGTTATAGGTTTATGATGAAATGAGCTTGCCAAATGGCGTTCTCAGGCTACAGCCAAAAGGAGGACATGGCCATCATAATGGGTATGTTTATGAAATATTACTTAGTGTAGGTTTCACTTTATTATTTCTTTGTTCCAGTATCGATGGATACCTTCTTTCTCAAATTGTAAATTGCTTCTTTAGGCTATGTTTAGACCTGGTTAACACTTCCCATTCAAAATCATTATTTCTCATTTGTAGAGAGTACTTTTGGTCTACATGCTTAACTGAAAAGTACTTAAGAACACTTTTAAGAGTCCATAACCATCAAAAAAATTGTTATCAAGCACCTTTTACTGAAGTGCTTATAATTAAAAGTACTTATCCTAAAAGCACTCTCAAATAGACCTGAGACCTTTAGTATAGCTCAATACAGTTTTTTTCTCCAATATCCAACACCTTCCCATTGTAAACTTGACGCACATATTACATATTGGTATCTTCCCAATGCAGTCTTGTACGTTTTTACACAGCATGGACATAAAAACCTGTAATTGATTCCTCTTGTCATACTCATACAGGGTGAAGAGTGTAATGGGACATCTGGATGGCCGACGTGAGTTTCCCCGACTATGCATTGGTATGTATCTCAGACTCTCAGTTAACATAAGTCTGAAGATGCTTATTAAGGTTTCTACTTCAGGTAGCGTTAATAAACCATATTGCTCTTGTTATTTTATAGGAATTGGAAACCCACCTGGAACTATGGACATGAAAGCTTTTCTTCTCCAGAAGTTTGGTTCAGTTGAGCGAAAACAGGTAAGACAGACTACCTTTGCATTCTACTTCAGTTTTGTGTTGCATTACCTCATCGGTCGCAGCCATACACGACAACTTCAAAATTGCATTTCCCTCTAAATGTGTTCATTTCGCATTATGTCATGATGATCTTACGATATAGTTGTTGGTAGAAATTTTATGACTAATGCTGGTGACATGAACAGATCGATGCGGCACTGGAACAGGGGGTTGAGGCAGTGAGAACTCTTGCACTGAACGGATTTAGTCAAAGAGTCAACAGATTCAACTTGACCCAGAAATACAAGTATAATAAGGTTTGATTCTGTGGGAAAAAGATTGTTGAGTTTCATCATATTTGTTAGATAATCAACTCTGATAGAAATGAATTGGTGTTGAAAGAGGCTGGACATAAAATTGTGTTTGCACCATATGAATATGCTGATTCAGTGTTCATAAATCTAGAGAAGGAAAGCTAAATAGCTCAGTTTACCAGAATATGATTAGTGTCCTGTGTCCATATGCCCATGAATTTGCATTGTAGAACAGAAATGCAGTAGACAAATTGATTATTGATAGATTTACCTCTTTTAACTTCTGCATGAGAAAGGGAGGAAATAAATCACCATGATGAACAACTTTTAGTCATTTTTGAAAAAATTGACCACCCATAATAGCAAATTAAGGGAGGAACACTCAAAATAACGTAGGAAAAGCAATTATCTAAATGTCGCTTATAAAAGTAGTCGTAGTTTCTAAAGTAGATCTAAACATGACTGCTCTCTTCATTTTCATTTTCACTAATACTCTCGTTCGGCTAATATTACGATATAAGAACAAATTAAGGGAGGACAACTCAAAATAACTGATGAAATCACTTCGATATTTGGTTTTACACTTTTGAAAGTGTTTTCTGATCTATCAATCGGGCGAGAAGCATTCTATAAGTATGTTTTACTTCAACATAATGATTCTGATAGAAATGTTTTTGGTAAGCTAAAGGTACTTTGAAACATAGTCCAAATCTGGTATGAATCTTTGAGTCCCTCCTCTTTAATCGTTGTGAATATCAATGTTCTCAATGGGTGTTGGAATTATTTTGAAATATTGATCATTGATGGTGTGAGGCTGCCGGGTGGAATATATCATCTTATGAACTTCTTTGGATGATTCAAACCTTGCAAACAAAACGTACTAAAAGCTTGATTGGACTCTTGCACTAGATTTTGATGATGTTACAGGAATTTAAGTAACCACCTATATTGGCTTTGCAAAATTTTGGTTGAATGGTAGGAGAGGCTTGTTAAATACATGTTAGTATTGATCTATGATTCATGCTGAGTTAGAAGTGCATATTGGTCGATCAGGTCGATTTTGGGCTCAAACTAATGTCAACAACTGATAAGTTGGTTCTCGTTGGTCGGAGCTTGACAATTTTAGAAGGCTCTACAATACTAACCGACCAAGATTTTGGTTGAAATTGACACAAGGTTAAGCTTCCAACAAGATAGACAAGAAAAACCTCGTGAGACAAAGAAAAAGAAACTTAATCTTGAACAAAAATTAAATTATTTTTTAAATAAACTATTGTACCACATATCGCCGGTCGGTTTTTTATTTTACAAAATCGACACCGATCGAACCGTTCATCAAACCAGCTGCGATCAGATTGGCTTTTCGAAATTTTTTGTTCACTCCTACGCTAGTAGTAACATCTAAGAAAGTAGTGCGATGGAGTAATTCTAGTAGTGTAAGATTTGTTGGAGATCCAATTAGGTATTTGCTAAACATAACTCTGCAAATTAGATAAGAGATTTGAGTAGAGATAAAATTATAGTATAATAAATAATTAAGTTATATCTCAAGTGATTTTGGTGCAATGCAATAATCACAACTTTGGAAGAAACGAAGTTTGCTAATAATGGGAATGTAATTTTGTCGTTAATCTTGTAAAATTTTAATCTTTAAATTTAATATATTAAAAAAATTTTATTTGAATTATTATTTTACAACACCGCGTTAACATACCACTAGGAAGAAATGTCCAAATGACATGTCCAGCTCCGTGTGAAAATATGTTAATAAAACGATAGTTTAATATCGATGCATCAACTTTTGCTCGATAAAATTCACCGTTATTTTTCTACCGAGAATCTGATTGAGAATTTTTAATAGATTAAAGATGAAAGGGCCAATCACAATTCACAACACAAATCAAACGGTCCACAGTCGATCAAAAAGATTTAAACTTTGGAGGACCCCACACCCCAATAAGAACGTTAGAAGCATAGAAAAGTGAAATCGAAAATCACAGAATCTTTTCCTCTTACCCAAATTTCAGACCGTTGAGAAACCTAATTCTCCTTTTTCAAAAGAAGAAGAAAAAACCAAAGCTTTTAGTAATCTCTTGTCTTCACCTCGTTAAACAAAAAAACAGAGCACCCAGAAAGAAAAAACAGAGCTTCTTCAAGCATTCAACAATGGCGGACCAAATCGACCATCTCCCCTTCCACGCCATCGACCCCAGATCTCTACTCCTCCACCAGAACTCCGGTGCCGATCAACCCATTTCTCTACGGCTCACGGCGGGGAGTTTTTCGATGGAAAGAGGGCCCAGGTACAGAGCCTACGCAGAGCTCAGAGAATCTAAGCTCAGGCGGAGGAACGCGAGGTACTGCGACGGCGAGGCGCCGGAAAAACCCACGCCGCCGGCGAAGAAGCAGGTCAAGTTTCTGGGTTCGGAAACCGTTCGGAAGAGGTCGGCGGCGGTGGCGCAATCGGTGCCGGATTTCTCCGCAGCGTTGAGGAAGGAGAACAGAAAGCCACCGGCGGCGGCGCTGCCGCCGGTGATGGAGATGACGCCACCGGGGAAGACGTGGGGGAAGAACAACGTGGGGCAGGGTCTGTCTAATTCGAGAGGGAGTAAGTCAGCCAGTGCCGGGGAGAAGAGGGGCGGCGCCGGCGGTGGGTTAACGGCGGCGAGAAAGAGTTATGCCGGATTTGAAGAGCTGAAGGGGTTTTCTACGGCGGCGGCGAACGCCATTAATGGCGAAATCAGGAGAGGAGGAAGGAAAGGGAAAACTGTATTGGGAATTAGACAGATTTGAAAAAAATGAAACAAGTGATTGATTTTCAATGGAAGATTGAATACTATTATTGTTCTTCCACTTTTTTTTTCCTTCATTTTGGTGGAATTGGGTTTGTTGTGTTTTATTTTTTATTTTTTGGTTACCGTTATTGGATTTGAGAGTACTTTTGATTCTTTATTTGTAATGAATATCTGAAGTTGTCGGAAATAATGAAGTGAGATTAAAAAGAATCTTATTATTAATCTATGTTTAATCATCATTAATGTAATGGGTATTGATTTTATGCAGTTACATTTTTTTTTATATATATTTTGTCCATTTCTTTATCATAATTGTCAAACTTACAGATATATGGAAGTATCAATGGAAATGTTGACATTACTATGAACATTTTCATCGTCTAAAAAAAATGTAGATTTAAAAAAATTGTTCTTTATTTTTAAAATTTGGCTTGGAATTCACATATACATACCAACCAAATTGTAAAAAAGGTATAAATATTAATAAAGGATTTTCAAAAAATAATAATAATCATAAGACCAAAGAAATGAACATAGCTGCTTAAAATAAACATCTGAAAATTAGATGAACAGATTTGAGCCAACTGCAAAAACCTGCTTTCAAAATTATTCAAGAACACAATGGGAGCAACAATGAACATCTACAAATTACATTCACCTTCATCCTCCAATCCATTTGTACACAAAACCTACAACAACACTACTAAATGACATTCAAAATCAGCCCCTCCTACATTCCCAAAGCTCTGTTACAATTTCATCAATCAATATTTGAAGTATTTCCACACCAATTTCTGCCCCACTTTCCAATTCTTCAATGCTAAAATCACTCCATTTCCCCAAAGAATGGCTCATTTCCCATTCTACTATCTCATCTGTCACCATCCCAACAAAATCCCCCCATTTCTTGATCTTCTTCTCGACGTCTTGAATAACCACTCTCGCGCTTGGTGCTGGGAATGTTCTTGTCCAAGCATTGGATCCACCGTAGTAGAACTGGCTGTGTTTTGAGTCCAGGCATTCTATCAGACAGTCGAAAAGAAACTTTCTTAGATGGTTTACCTCCTTGCTGTTCTCTGAATTGCTCATGTTGCTTGAGTTTGTCCACATTTCGCAAGTGAATGTTTCCAGTTCGTCGACGAAAAGGGGGGGCACGATGAGAAGGTTGTTTTCGTACCTGCCGAACAAAATTTCGGTGTTGAGCATAACCTCTCTGGCATGAGTGAGCTTACTCCCGGTCAATCTGATACCGGTAAGGTTATAGCTCTGCAGTATGCTAGATATAGCATCGAAGACTTCGGTCACCCTTTCACTCCCGAGATTCCCTTCGCTCAAGGACGTTGCAGAATCTAAAAGATCGGCATCGGGCTCAGATTGCTGTGATTGATCGATAGAACAATCAACAGACTCAGCTGGCATCCTGCATCCTATAATGGAAAAGAAAATGCCATAAAGCAACTAATTATTTTCATATTCACATGGAGGTATTTCCAAAGAGCAGAGATTGAGCATTTTGGATACAACAAAATTTCACTTCTTACCTGAACTCTCATCCAGGCTACTGGACGAGAATGAAGCTTCAAGAACAGATCCCGGGCTATGATGATCTAGTCCTTTGGACGTTCTCGTGAGCCGTTCTTCATTTGAATCATCCTGGAAAGGCAGAATTGGTATCCACATCAGCCAAAATTAATTTAAATCTTAAACATCCATTAGAGAATAAGATGATATTACCAAAAGAATAAAAATGCAAGCTTGCATATCTGCGTTTAGTTTACCTTCCAGGAAGGTGCTTTAAACATCGAAAAACAAAAGCATGCTTGCATAGCCAATTGACAGACTAACATGACCATAAAATCAAATTCATCTAAATTTGCAAGATCATATTAGGTGCTGACAGAAACAAATATGCAACTTCGAAAAAAAAAAACACTGGCATCAGGTATTTAATTTAGGGTATCTACTTTTAGGCCATTTTCAGTTTCAAGAAGGACCAAATTAACTATTTATAGATTCAAGAAACTCAGCCTTCTAGGCTAGTTTGGTAACGTTTCCAAATTAACTATTTTCAGTTTCTCATTTCCAATTTTATTAAGAAATCTAAGCATTTAACAACTATTTATGTTTCTTGCTTTTCATTTGTTCAGAAACATTCTCAAAATTGTATAAAAATTTTGACAACCAAAACAAGTTTCTTATTTCTTGCTACCATTTCCATAAATATAAATCTTGTCTTATCATTCTTGTATCCGTGGGTGTTGGGAGTCATGCAATTATATATTTTTCTTTATTAAAAAAAAGGAAATGGAAACGTTACCAAATGGGCCCTTAATGTTTAATAGGTTAATTGGGAACTTACCTAACATTTAATAGTCAACTTTCATCAACTATCCAGATATTCCAATCTTTATTAATCTAAGAGAAGCTTACGATATAAAATGATGAAATATATAGGAAGCAATCACAGTATAAAAATGATTACTTTGCAGAAAGGGAAAAAAAAAAGAGCAAAAGTAAATAGAACGGAAAGGATTCTTACACAGTAAGTTACATCCATGTTGGAGCCCTCCAAAGAAACTTTCTGTGCGGCAGCTAAGGCAGATATCAGCTCCTGAATGATTACAGAAGCGGGTTTCTTCAATGGAGAACCCGACGCTGACTCATCATTTCCTTGAGAAGTTAATTCCTTCAACTTCTGTTCCAGGATATCTATGGCCTCTCCTCCAAACAAGGATGGCTTTTGGTAAGGCATATTTCCCTCGTTTGCCATGCTCTCATTCATCTCTGTAGCAGCTGTGGCTTTCTGCTTAATGGGAGAATCACAGATGAAAGAAACAGTGTCAGTATCCCTTCTGCAAACTCTATCACCGGCTTCTCGACGACCAGCTAATCTATTAGCGGCACAAGGCTGCTTTGTGGGGAGAGATTTCCGTTGAATTCTTGAACTCGTTCTAGGCAATTTATCGCACTGAGGGGATCGTTGTTTTGTAGCAGGTGAATCAACAGCATCTTTGCTTTCAATATGTCCACTTAAGTGTGCAGTCCTCCTTTTCCTTGGAGAGGTTCCTGACTGAGATGAGACATCTTCTCCTCCATTAAAAGATTTCCTTCCTACGCTAAACTTAGAATTTTCCACTTTAGCAGGCAGTTTTCCTCTGCTGCAGCCATTAACACTTCGATTAAAAGCAACAAAATTTTTTGTCTCGCCAACAGTATTCGCAGATGATATGGTGGTTCTTCTGCTCTGTAGAATACTTGACTTCGACTTAGGTGATACCCCATCCCTGACCGATGTCATACGAACTTCAGGTTGACTGCAATGCTTGACGACTGATGGTTCATTTGTCCTAAGCTTGAATTGTTGGCCGGAAGGCCTGGACAATGGAAATGGTGATCCATTGTTCAGAGGCAATCTTCCTGCAATAGAATAGAGTTGGGATTTTATACAGCCCTTAGATTCATTATGCTTGGAATCAAAAGATATAGGTTGATCACAATTGGTTTGGAAGACTTCATCACTTTCTCGCTGGAGGTGCAATTCAGGGGATATCATTTCACTCCATCCCAATCCCTGCAAAGAGTCGTTGGCATAAGTTGAATCGTGTGGCGGAATCGTGGATGGATATTCTTCCACAATGTTGTTGAAGACCTCAACTTTCAGCAAATTATTGCAATTTCTACATGATGCCTGTCCCATGAAGGACTGTGAAGAATCATAACCTTCCAATGGTACAACTCCAATTTCCCTCGGTACAACCTCATTAGGAGAATAATGCATAGACTTTGGCAGTGTGATGGCAGATTTTGCTCTGTTTGATGCCTGCAAGCCAGGCTCCAATATTTTGCTAGCAACATCGATCAACCGGGAGGCTCTAGACACATTCCTCCCTGAGGGAAGCCTTGGACTTTTCGCCGATGAAGGAAATTTTGGAGGATGATGCTTCCTCGATCGCGACATAACACTCTTGTATTGCAGTACCTCAGCTCCTATTCGTCTCATCACCTTTCTCTCCTCTTGTCCTGTCTTCTGAAGCTTTAGAGGCCTTGCTTCAACTTTTGCACTTGCCTTTTCCAAATTCAATTCCTCCACAATTTTCTTTTCCACACTGTCACAAGGATTAGAAAAACCAGTCTTCTTCGGCCTTTCTCGACTTAAAACTGGCATCGACTCAAGACCCATGAGTCTTGCAACCAGTCCCGGTACTCGCATTTCGTTCTTGTGCTCTATATCGGTACAACGATTCCCATTCTTCTTGACATTTGGGAAACCACCTCTATTTTCATCAGCAATCTATTTCTCAAAAATGGCAAGGGCAAGAATATAAGCTTAAGAATAAAACAAACCTACTTAGAAAAGTAGAACAAAGAAGGAACTTTATTCGTGGAAGAGTATAACAAAATACCAAATGATTCTTCGAAACCGGCATCTTTTCGCCTCCTTTGAACTTCTTAGTCGATTGTTTCGTTCGAGCTAGCGAAACACAAAAGAACCAGATTTAAACTTCAAACTAGAATCTAGATAAAGAAAATGTAAGCCAAGCATCTATTCAAGTTGTGAATGAAAGGAAAAAAAGACACAATAGAACAAAATGAAGCCCTGTTATACAGAGAAATATAAAAGTAGGTAACCTGGAGGAAGCAATTTCCTGGAGAAGAGCTTCCTCTTAGCCAACCTCCGGTTCCAATCAAAGAGCTGGAAGAAAACGCCAACACACCCACCAGGCTTATGCGTCTTCTTCTCTGAAATAGCCAAACAAGACGATGCTCTCCCTGTATTTTCCATCAAACTCTCTAACAAAGACCCCAAAAACTGCCACGGGGCTGCCTCAGTTCTTCCAAATGTGCTTCTGCATTGTTCAAACGAATCCTAAAACTACATTCTCCGAGCCTTGTAACTCCACTGAATCGCACTCCCTTCAAAAACCCAACCCAAAAACACCGTACAAAAATGGCTATGATGCTCAATGAAACAGGTTCTCCAGAGAAAGCAAAAATATCACGAGACGCAGAAACAAAAACAGCTTTAAGAACAAAAAGAAAAAACGGAAGACGTACAATAATGGAGCAATGGGAGGTGTGGAGGCAAGAGAAATCCCTACCCAGGAAGGGTTTCTGAGAAATAAAAAGGGTAGAGAGAGTACTGAAGGCTGAGAAAGGCAAAAAAAAAATTACAGTTGCAGCGATAGAAAAACGACGAAATGACGGTGCCAAACCACGAAAACTTCAGCAGATTTCAGAAGATTACAGCCACACCACTGGCTAATTCCTCTGACCCTAATTAAGACTCACTCTGCCCATCACGCAAACGCCACAAACAAACCGCTCCACAACAAACAAACAAGAAGCGAAAAGAAAAGGAAAAATTGGGAAAAACGGAGCAGAGGAAGCAGAATTCAGAGCAGAGAGAGCCTCAAAAGCGGCGAAAGGGGAGCAAACCGGGTGAGACGACGTCGTATAATCGCGATAACCAAGAGAATTGATGCTCGAGGCGCTGCCCCTGCAAAAATGTCTCTCTCATTTCCAAAAATCGAGAGAGAAAGAGGAGACTTTTTGGAGCCGATTCTTCTGAGTTGCAGAGCAGTGAAACGAAGTTCAAACGCCACGCGCAGTGGAAGCGAAACTAGACGAGACGACAAATCGGAAAATATTGATATTATTATTTATAATTTGAATATTTGTTTAATAATGTTTGGTTTTATATAATTCTAGTGGATAAAAGACAAAATTTTCATTTGATTTCAAACTTTTGTGTGTTTTTTTTATTTTTTATTTATTTGGAAAGTAAACATTTGTGTTTAACTAATATTTTGTCACGTGTATTGCCGAGGATAATATTAGATAAAATTTATTGTTTTTAATAATTTATTTGACTTTTTTTTTGCTTGACCTTCTTTCAAACCCTCCTGAATTTTTATATTTATTTTAGGGTACATGCAAATCTATTATTAAATTTGAGTGGTGTTGTTTATTTACTTGACGCCATTTTTTTAGGAAAAAAATAGTTTTTTTTTCCAATTTCATCCTTGAATTTCTCACAAAAAAAAATGTGTTTTTAATTTCTATTTATGTTGGATTTTGAATAAGATGACACATCAGTGTGAACTTCAAATTTAGCAAATTGACTAACTACAAACAGAATCTTATACCATGCGGTATTAATCATGTATACTTTGAAATTTAAGTTGGTAATTAGTTTGAGTTGGTGTCAATCCAAAATTCAGTGAAGTTCATAGAAATTGCATGTGTTTAGATAGATGGAGCTCTACCTATTATAAAGGAGCCTTGGAAAATACAAATTTGTCACTCGCCATTATCTCGCTGACGCTTATCACTTTTTTGTAGGCTCTGCCAATACGATTCCAATTGGGGTATCGCCCATCCTCAAGTAGGGATCGAGTTGGTCTCCCTTTCGAGTCATATTAAGTAACTTTACTAGTCATACTTTGTCCTTAATAAATTTAGTTGAACCCCAACTACATGTTCCCAGATGAATGGTCCATGCAGTAGGTCCACCTATAACAATTTCAATTTTAATTCTAATAAGTTTTATCGTTAATATCATTAATATTAAATATATATATATATATATATATATATAATGTATGGTGAGTTAATTTGATTAATAGTGGATGGTATGATTAGGTAAATATATGTTAGATTTCTATAAAATACTTTAATAAAAATTCATGAAAAAACTAAAACAATGTTTTATTAAAATTTTAGAACCTAAGGTAAACTATTTGAACATTCTTAGACCATAAATAATGAAAATTCAACTCACATATGATTTAAATATTTAATAAGAATACATATATTTTAAATTAAGAAGTAATACATTTAAATAAAAATCAGTAATTTTAAAAATAGATAACTATGAAATGTATGTTTATTAAATATAATTAACTTATGAATTTTTAATAGTATTTATCTCTTGCACACATGACCAATCCAATATTAAAAGAAGTCACGTCGTCGATAATAATAATAATTATTTTTTTTTTAAATGGTGTTATTGCATTGAAGACTATCTATTAAAACTAAATATAAGCAATTGACAAAAATAATTTTAATATAATTAACTATTTAAAAAATCATATTTGACAGATATAACGCCAAAAAAAACTGATATTCTAGAATATTTATCTAATATAGAAAGTTGTTCAAATCTATGACCTTTAAAAAAATGTTATTATTGTTTTATTTTTTATTAATTTAAGAAACGTTTTTTTAGTATAACAAATGGAGTGGAAAATTCGAACCCGTGACATCTTGATCAAAGATAAGTATCAATTACCTCTGAATTACAATGATAATCGACATATATCTTTAATCAAGAGATTGTGAGTTCGACCCCACTCCACATGTTATACTAAAACAAATAAATAAATAATTATTACTGAATTAAACTTGACATTAATTTAAGAAATGTTATTAATATCATAATCAACTATATTCAAACTAACGTGATTAAAGATTCTTATACGATTTCAAAACTCTCATATTTTGACTATTGGCATAAATTGATATTTTTTATTAAAATTAGGAGGAAAATATTGTCCAAACCATATTTCTCCCCTTCATAAATTAAATCATTTTTATATATAGGGTATTGTGTATATAATACAACTATTAATTTTTTTTTGGACTCAACTAATTTTATTATTATTTTTAGGTAAACCAAAATCAGATTTAAGTTTGAAACTTTTAGTATGCAATAATAATAATAATAATAATAATAATAATAATAATAATAATAGTCTTTTAATTCTACATTTGTCTAGGAATAATAAAATGTTTAAAAATAGTTTCTTTTTTCAATAAGTCACATTTTGCTCATTAATATTGTTTTTCATCTAATATTCCCCTACTTAATACATGTTTCAACTAATCAGTGTAGCTCATATATATACACTCAACATCAAAACAAGACACATGTTATAAGTCCATATTATTTACTTAATTACTTCATATTAATTAACAAGTAACCTATGACAAGAACTACAATGATTTTGTTTTTAATCCTTAAATTTGTAAGGTTATTCCACTTTAATCCTTGAAGTTTCGAAAATTTTATTTTAGAATCTAGATTTTCAAAATATCTATATTTAATCACCATTTTAGTTATAACTTTTATTTTGATTTTAACATATTAATAACATGACCTCAACATACTAACCATATCAGTCTAAAATCGAGTATTTGGTAAGTAAATTATAGCAAAAGAAAATAATCAAACAAGCAAGGCGTAAAAATTTCGTAGATATTTTTGCATGTCGACATCAACATGAGATTGAGAGATACATCAATTAATATTGCAAAAAAATCGATAAAATATCATTAATACAATATCTAATATTAAAAACCATAAAATTACTTAAAAAAGGTGAAATATAACTTTCTCATAAATATTTATCGATATATTGATATTTTATATGTTTAAAATTTTTGACTAAAATAATTTAAGAGGAGTATTAGAAGTTTGAAGAATGAAAGAGAAATTTGTTGTGTTGTGTTAGGGTAATGGCGTCGGGTCTACGTCGGTGTGCTATTGGGAGCGTGATTTTCAAACCTTTTTCGAAAAATCATGACCCTCTTTTCACTCAAACCCACGCGCTGCGAGTAGCTTTTACGCTTTGCAACTCGCCGCCACAACTGTTAGCAGTTTTACGACAAGAGTTTTCGCCAGCTGAATTTTTGTTCATTTGTTTATTTTATTTCTAACATTTTCCCATCATAAATGGGCTCTTGTCGGTGCTACCATACCATCGGAATTGGATTTTTCCTCTTTGGATTTCCTTTTTCTTTTTTCCAATTATCCGACAAGAAATTAGAAATAATTATACATGATTTCTATCCGTTTTGTTCTTTTTTCGAGACGATACTATATTTGTAGTAAAGATTCTAAATGTCGAGCGAAAATATTTGTTGTTACTAAATACTAAAAGGTCAGAGATCTACGTCGAGCTTCTTGACCAAGCTGACGGAATGAGCTATGTAAGAATACCGACATGTAATGAACAAACACTCACGCTCAAATTAGTCTATAGTTCGAGTTGAAAGGTCGGTTCAAGGCATATATAAGCGCTTACCTACGAGCGAAATGATAGGGTATTTATAGGCATTGGGGGAGAGACCGTGTCGTTACCGGTGTTGTAAAGTTTGATACAAGGTCGTAACTGGTTGTGCTCCTTAACTCGGTATGGATGCTTTAAGAAGTATGCCGTGGTGGAGCGAGCTTCGGAAATGATATGTTGGGCACAAGTAGACTATATTTTTGGAGGCCGAGCTAATGAGCATGGTAGTAAGTAGAAGTATGAAAGAGTAACGTGCGATCATCTCTTCTCGATATAGTCCATGTGGCATACTGCATTTTTATCCTTCAACAAAATTGAAGTTCCAATTTTGTTTCAATTTTATGAAAATATCAATGCAAATATTATAAATATTTCTTAGACACATGAAAATTAAAAATTCTTCAACAATTATTTATTTAATAACGAAGTGTTTCACTAATTTTAAATAAATTGAAAATTTTTATTATTAAAATTATGTTCTCATTAAAGATATTTTGTTTACATTTTATAATTTTTTATATTTGTCAATTTTTTCCGATTATATAAAAATGTTGATTCGTCTCTTATATGTTGATATTGAATCCATAGACATTGAATCCATAGACGTAAACAATTAAGTAACTATTGAGTAAGATCAAACTAGAACTTGTGCATTTAAAAAAAGAATCAATAATTCTAAGAAGCATGGTGTATTGAGAATCATGATTCTAATTAACTTACATTAATTTTAAGGTATTTCATAGTTTGTTAGGATCAATACATTCATATTTCTTGTTGGGTTAGAGTTTCACATTTCTTTATCTAATTAAAAATCAAATTAATTGAATTAGACACGTGACTAAAAATGTATCAATTTACTATACACTTTTTAAATTCATGGACTAATTAGACACAATCAAATACTCTTAAGTTTAAAACGTTTCCCAACTTTAAAGAATAATACTAATCACGAAAAGTCTCCAACTTTTAAAGAATATATAATACTAATCATGAATATTTTTAGGATCGAATGAGACTATTTTTATTCCTATAAAGTTTTTAAAAATCTTTTTAAATTTTGTTGCGTTTGAATCACTACATTCTGTTACTATAAGTTTACGTGCTTTTTTAATTACTTGACTTTGCAATTAGGCTGACATATTTTCATGGTTGAATTTTGAGGCATTTATATACTTTAGTTTTGAGTTTTTTTAGATGAATTCTAAGTGATTTATTCGTTGATTCATAAATAATTTTTTGATTTAATTTTGAGAAGACATTAACCACCCATTCTTCTTACCTAGAGTTTAATTAAATAAAATTGAAAGTTTAACATTAAAACAACTCGTTTAAAATAAGTATAAAGGCAACATGGTGATCTCCCTGAAAATTTTGAAAGCTAACTAAATATTTATAGCATATGATATACCGATAAAATACGAGTCACGTTGTACCAACTCCTAATATTAATTAAATTGGTATAGCATAAGGTAATCTCATGGAACAAAATTTCCAATTGGTCCCCACTTCCTCAGTCTAGATTTCAATTGACAAGAGGAAGTGGTTGA